ACACACACCCATCCACACACACCCCCAAGTGTGTATTTGCCTGCAACTGGGGACCCCCTATTGTTCCTCTTTTGTTTGTACTTTAACTTTTTTACAAGACCACCCATATGTTTTGTACACAGTTGTCAATCGGGGACCCTCTGTCAATCGGGGACCTTATTGTCCTATATTGTTCAGGGTCCCCAATTGAATGCAGAAACAAACTCATGTACACACAATGACTGTGGATCTCCGCTTTAAATACTCTCACTTTGTTTCTACACAACAAACTAACCTAGACATTACAGGCCTACCTGATTTGGGATATGTTACCACCCACACATCATCCTCCCAAATCTCCAATGCTTTCATGGCATCCAGGGTTTCTCGAGTGACCATCCAAGGCCAGTTAATACCGTCCAACCTTGATGTTCCGGGTACTGCCAAATTGTACTCCACTGCAGTACTGGAATTTGCCATTATGCCTTCCAGTAACTGAAACCCTCGTAAAAAAGGAAACCTAGTTTTAAACAATATTACAGCCCTATGTTTACTCCAATGTAAGGGTGGCTGCCGGGGTTCCAGCAGGGAGTTTGCTTTCTGGCAGGTAGACTCTCCAGGACGTCAAGGAGAGGGCACGCAGGTTCGGTGTGATGGGTAAGAGAGCAGGTGGCTGGCTGGTGAGACTACCACGGGTCAATGACTGACTGCACACCATGTCAGGACTATGCTTAGAACTACTCTTTTACTTGTTGGATCCCAGACACTGCCTGTGAAAATTTGGTAGGCACTAATTAGTTCCTGGATTACAACCAACAGAATTCAAGTCTTACAGTTCGCACAAAATTAGAACGGATAGCATGATCCGGTATAGCATAACGTTCAAACTCTTGTGTGTTTGCATAGGCACAGTGTCACTTTATTGGGCGTCAAGGAAGAATCTAGGTTGGCCGCTGCCTGACCAAAACATGCAGACCGTGACACACTATGCATAGGTCTACGTCACATTATGTCAAGTTGACAGCCTTAGTTTAACAGTGCTCCATTTCCATGTGAAGCATTCGAGACCGCCATAAAAAATTAAAGCAATATCTTTACCAACCGTGTGCCACAGTCATGACATTTGTCCTTCACCTGCCGTGCACGTGAAGTGAACTGCATGTGGTCACGTGTAGACGTACACATGGTACACGTGCACATCCTATGGTGCATGCTAAAAGCGGACCATAAAAATCCTGTGCCACATTACTCCCTATTCTCAACTCACAAATAT